TAGAAGACCAATGGATAGAAGACCAATGGATAGAAGACCAATGGATAGAAGACCAATGGATAGAAGACCAATGGATAGAAGACCAATGGATAGAATACCAATGGATAGATAAACCAATGGATAGAAAACCATGGATTGAAACCGTGAATTGAGATGCACACTTCACTTAATCAGCCCGCACGACCAGCGCTTGCTTTTCGACCACGAGCGGTCCAAGAGACTCGACATGCGCGACGACGGGCGTTCCAGACTGCGACTCGATCGCGGACTACCGGACACATACGGCGAGGAAGACAAAGCAGGGTGATATGGCTTCTGATCCGCAATGGTTTGAGACGAGGACGAAGCAGACGACGAGAGAGAGGTGCCTCCTGGTGCTCCTGCTCCTGCAGCATTCGTTGCCCACGAGGCGGGGAGCACGGGACTCGGGTCTGCAGGGAGGATGGCTTCAATCTTCATGCTCTGCCGGCGATTCCGGAGTGAGGTGGTCGATGTTGTGCTGCTGGTGCGTGCCAGACTGGCTCGGCGCGCGAGAGAGGTGGAGGAGGAGGAGCTCTGGCGGGACCGGGACCGGGAGCCGCCGGATCCGCGCCGCTCGCTGCCGGCGCTGCTGCTTAGCAGGATGAGATTGTCGTCGTCAGTGGCGGCGGCGGGAGAGGAGGAGTTGATGTTGTTGGTATCGGTGGTATTGTTGGGAGAGCTGCACCATGGGCAGGTGTCGCATTTGTTTTCCCACCCTTCGAGAGAAAGCTTCTCGGGACAATTGCTCAGGTTGCGAGACGATTGGCAGGGCCGCAGCAGAGAGTACCATCTGTGCTGGCAGGGCTGCACGCACACGTTGAGCTGAGCGACGCACATGTTCACGGGCAAGTGTTTTTGGTCTTGCGAGATATTGGAGAGGAGGAGGAGGAGATGTTGTAGAGCTGATATCAATTGAATTGACGTAAGAGCTTTTGTGGGACCGTGTTTTGGGTGTATGCGGATTTGCGGTGGGATATCAAGAGCTCTTCTGCAGCTGCACGTAGTCGAGTAGAGCCAGGACGTATGTGAAGATGTTCGAGATATAGTATTGTATTGTAATGTATTCTTCGAAGCAAGTAAAAGGCTCGAGAAGGCTCGAGAAGGCTCAAAAAATGTATTATTGACGCGATGACGAATGTGATAGGTGATCAAAAAAAAATATAGAGGCAAGGACAGTCCAGCTTCCAAGCGCAGCCAACAGGGTCTTCAATGCGTGTCAGAGATATGAGTGTGAGACAAAAGGACACTCAAAAACCCAGAGGTATGGACTAATTTAAATGATGAGTATAACTGAAACGTCAAACACGTAGAAATTGTAAGCCAAGGGGGCGGGCGAAGAAGGAGGGCAGGGCAGGGCATTTTATTTCATTTATTTATCAACTGATTTGCATTCACCCTCGGGTTACAAGTAAAAGTCACTGCAGCATCAAATGTTAGCCCATCAGCCCCATCGGAGGAGAAACATAAGACATGGGATGTTACCCAGGGTTAGGTGGGAAGAAGGAGAAGAAGGAGAAGAAGGACAAGACGACGGTGGGGAGCTTGGACTCCACATGGTTTCCGAAGCGGGACAGCAGGCAGCGAAGGATAGATAGGATTTAGTTTAGTCTAGCAGAAGTGCTAGGGAGATGATCAGAAAAGAAGGATGAGTGAGAATGAGAGATCAAGGGTTTTTCTTCTCTTGGGGCTGCGTCAAGGGTGAGAATGGAGCACACGAGAGAGAGTCCAGACAAGGGGGGGCCAAGCAAGTAGCCACACACACACAGAATACACCATCCAGTAACTAATCATTGGTAACTAATCATCAGGTGTGTTGTCATGGTCTTTTTGTTGTCGTCGTCGTCAGAATTAAAAAAGAGCCAAGAGCATGGCTGAGTCAATGCCCTTTAGTTTGGGGCGTTTTAGACTCATCTTGAGTCGACGAGTTAAAGGTGTGACTTGAGCCGTGGCTATCGGTCCGTGACCTTGTGGCCTTGGCATCAGCTCTTGGTTTTCAAGTACAGATTATCTAGAACTGCGACAAGAGAACTCCACTCCTATAGCATCATTCCCCCTGTTACCCATCCAATGCAGTCAGATGCAAATGATTACTGTCTCTTATCACTCACTTTCTTACAGGTGTCGTCATCACGTCAGAGTAGACTTTTCTGTAAGAAAAAGAGTCAAGGAAGGTACCCAAGGTAATAACATTGTCTTGGAATCTGTACAAGTACTCTGGTACCATTGTAAGAGTCACTTGCTGAAGAAGAATGAGCTCAAAATGACTAGGATCAACCATGGCTTCGTTCTGTTAGAGTAATAGCTACTTGGTTTAGCTCCTGTGCCAGTCAAACCGTCGGTTGGGTATCGAGTCACTGGGGACCGTCCTTTTTACTCTCTTACTCTAGTGCCCATGGCCCGTAGCTTCCGGCGATCATCGACCCACAACAAGACTAACCAGTGTAAGCTCAACCTCTTTTTCCCGTCTCAGATGCGGTGATCCACCAGGGGGTAGGGGTTTTGCACGGTAAAGAGAAGGAAACTTGGACACCTTGATTAGATGGCGCCCGACCATTATTGACGATTGTGCCCAAGAGAGAGAGAGAAGAAGGGCCGGGGCAATAATGTGCTGGGCTTGGCAGCCGATGATAGTATTGAACTATTCAATATCCGGTCCATAAGGCAGCTTCACCCTCTCTAATGTAGTACAAAGAGGAAATGACACAAATATAGTCGGTAAAATCACCTTATTTCAGTTTGATTTCTTTGTTCCATAATAGATGAATCCAGCTTGAAACGGCAAATTGAGACTGCTCGTCAATCCCTGTTGGATACATCCTCCAAAACGATAACAGAGTAAACGGATCTTCGATCGGTCTCACCATGGCTCGTAGACATATGGCATGTTGTTGACTCTAGATTACGAGGCCTTGCCCGACCATTGATCTGCATTAAACATGATTTATAACTCACCGCCAATCATGCAATATCACTGGTTGGTTGTTTCATGCTTTCCCGTCTGTTGATTTTCATTCCCGCGGAAGCGGACGGTAGCACGTCCCGGCAGGAAATAAAGGAGAAGTTAAGATAAAAGATAAGAATCAGGGGGAGGGGAATTGCAGCAAGGGGTAACCGCAGCAAAATGACACAAAACTGAGCTCGGCTGCAACGAGCCTATCAATGCGAATTTCCCACGAGTATGGGCCTTCGTAAATGCTTGATTGGTAGCATGTGTCTTTCTTCTCTGCCGTCGGGAATGTAAGACCCATCTGGCCGGACATGCCACTGAGCAGAGGCCAGATCGACCAGACGGCGGGTAACAAGTTGCACAAAACCGACAAACTGCTCTCTCCCCATTGCCAAGGACGAAAAGAAAAAAAAAAAAAAAAAAAAAAAAAAGGTTTCGTGCAGTACTGTACTGCTTGATACGAACATTCTTTTTCCCTTCCGTCTTCTTCTCTGCTTGATGCGTGTTTCATACCCCCCTCGCATCCCCGGGGTGCATCAGCTTGCTCCCCGCTGGAACACTCATTTTGTGCAACTTTGGCTGTTGTTCCAGCCATAGATGGGCCACGGTGGGTGCTTTAGATATGCATCTGCATGCGTGTACAATCTGGTGTCTGCAATTCTGATATCATTGTGACCATGGAGGTGAGGTGATACCTCCCATATCAAAAAATCTAATCAGCCAACCGTTCATGGCACCAGGGTTTGACATTCTGCTCCCTTTCCTCCGTTCCTTTACCTTCGTTATCCGCGAATGCCCGATCAAGGTGGGCGGCCTCTGGATCCCTTTCGCCAGATATTCTCTGTGAACTGCCCATGCCTGGAGTGCGCAATCGTCGTACAGTCTGTACGATTATCGCCAAGCGAAAAAGCCCAGAATTTCCGGGGAAGAGCGCGCGCATGTGAAGCCATGTGCTCCATGGGCGCATCTTTCCATTGGACACGTAGCAAGAGTCTATGATCAAGTCGGCAAGAAAATAGGATTCTCTCATTGCCAGCATCAACATCATCTGAGCATCGTAAATCGACCGCGTTCAGCCATGCGAGAGCCAAGAGTTGTCGCCAACCCTGCGCGGAGTCCATTATCCATGCTCATTCATGCTCCTCCCAAGCCTTTTCCACGCTATAGCTAAGCAATTCGTCGCCTGGTCCGTCGCAGTGCTTGGCGTCCAACGCCAAACTCACTAAGCCCAATCCTCGGCCGAACTAAATCCACTGGCAGCTAATCCATTGTGAAAGCCACTGCGTAGGGATAGCCGTCAGCTCCTCCCCCTCGGTTCTGCCTGGCGGGCACTCTAAACAGTCCAACGTTGAAAACAAACCAAAGTGGAGCGCTCACCTCTCCAAGCTCCCAATAGCTCGGCCACCACAACAAATGGCTTATAGTTGACAGACGTTTCTGGAGTATCAATAATCGAAAAAAAGTTGTCGGTGTACTCCATGCGTAGCCATTTCTTGCTTTCCCATCTTCACCGTATGATCTTGGCAATCTTCTGGCCTCACACAGGGCGCCCAAGTTGGGCGCGTTGACCTATCTGCTTCGGAAACGTGACTGCAACAAGATAAACTTCCGTTCGGCATGCTGATACAAGTCTTGTACGCGTACTGTGGCCCATTGCCCCTGTCCCAGGTACCCTGTCTAGCTGGGGCCGTTCATGCTCGATATGCGTTCACAGTAACCTTAACGACGCGACTGCGCCTCCACCGCTTTTCGTCCTTGCCTTACGCTACCAAGTCAGCCCACATTTTGGGTCAAATCCCCCCTTGAGGGTCTGGAAGCCTGCTCACTGTTGTACGGTACCTTCCTGTCACTGCCCTTCGATTATCTGTCCTTTGTACTCCGTAGACAGCACGAAAGCCATCACAAAATCCACCTTTTCATCATCCCTGTCTCTCATCCGCCAATTCTTGCTTTGCAAAATACCCCGCAAAAATCAAATACCTTTTGCCTCGGGTGCTGAGTTATAAGGTCTTCATCATCCGAGGGGATAACACGCCCAATAAACTTTGGGAATTTGTCACAAGATGGTCGAATGCTAAAATGGGACGGAGACAACCGTCCTAGGCAGCAATCTTGAAACTTTCAAAGTTCTGCCCACAGGTTCTAACACTACCTAACTGTGTCAATTAACCCTCAGGATCACTAAATGTCGTCGCAGCAACAAGCCCCATCATTCTAGCCCTTCCCCACTACAAGCGATGCAACTTACGTGGCTTTACGCTCTGATCAAACCCAAACCTCACCGCTTTGAGAACCTTGGGGATAATTGTTTTTTCAAATGTCGGTTCCCAGCTAATTCTTAGATATTGAATGGCTCAACATCAGTTTTCAGCCTCTGCATTATCCTGCAGAAGTCAAACAACGGTATCCGATCATCTAGCCCTAGATCAATTGGTCTAGTTTAGGTCGACCAAGTCCAATACTTGTAAATGGCCTATTCAGGAAATAACAGAGTCCAAACCGCCCAAGATAGGCACCCAGCGTGCAGAGTGCACATTCGAGGAAGATATATTTATTAATGGAATATGTCGTTATAACTTATTTGATTTATGGTATTACAGACCCCACTTTTAATCAGGAGAGCTCCTATTCTATCTATTTTTGCAGTGCGACTCTCAATTCCTTGTTTTCAGAACCCAATGGTCTTCGCTTTTGGATTTCTGGAGACCATTGAATTGGCTATCGATGATCAAACTTACACATTCCTGGTTTCTTTAATGTTGTCAACCCATATTTCCCACTTTCTCTCGCGGTTCGGTGTGGAAGTCGCAAGTCTTGTTGCCATGATCTTAGTGAGAATCAAACATTTTATCCAAGAATACTATGCTGCGAATTTATTCTTCAAGCGCAAGGGCTCAAAAAAAATGCCATGTTATTACGTAGGCGACCAGGTGTATGAATGGATTCTTCAATCCATCTTGCTCACGCTCACCTTATGCATCAAGTTAATGCTAGGTTTCGGACGCAAACGGTTGGTAGAAGTTAAACATTGATATCGCTTGGCAAAGCACTTCACGTCACAAACACTCTCCGCTCAGCTGCTAATCATCGATTGGGACATGTGATCAATATTTTTTGATGATTCATCACGTCAATCCAATTCAATTAATTGAAGAGCTTGATCTGAACAGAAGAATGCTTGTATGGGCGCTTTGCAGCTTTTGCCGATGCATCTGATAGCGTGGAATAACGCTGGGTATATGTATGTACACGAAGTAGGAAACGAGATTGTGTCTTCTTAGCTGTCAAACCACGAGAAAAGCGCAATGAGATGAGCCATGCGCATGAATCTTCCCGGACCTGAAAGCACGAAACATCTTGCTGACGCAGCTGTGAAGCATCGCTTTCCCGCGTCGGAGATCAAAGGATTTGAAACAAACCAATTGGCAGCTTGGCGATCGTGAATAGCATGAGCTTGCGGCTTGCAACTGAAGCAGCGCATCTATCGGACCCCGTGGAGAGGAAACAAAAATGCGGCGTGCTAACGAGCAGCTTCCACAGCCCCCGATTTACAACTCTTCGTCTTCGTTGGCTGTAGCGGGCACGGTTTCCTTCTTTACTGCTTCCAAAGGTGGCTCTGCTTTGGGAGCAATCCCCGATTCTTTGACGCTACCAGGACCGGTTTCCAGACGCTTCCTCATCATTTCCTCGTCCAAGCCCGACAGACTTGCCCGTTGTTTCTTCAACGGACTGCCAACTATCGCATCGGTGGAATCTTCGCCTGCGTTGACGGGCGTGTTGAGGCTAAAAGTTGGCGGCGTAGAGCCAGATACCGTCACGGAGGGATCCAATGCTGGAGATTTGCGAGCCGGTGGTGTCGCATCGCTGAGCGGATCGGCTGAATGCTGTCGTTTTAACTGCTCAAGTGTGAGCCTAAACCCTTCCTGAAAACTGTACACTAGGCGGACACGTACCTTGATATTGCGAAGTCCTTCTGTAAGTTCACCTTGCCGTTTCGCGTCCTCCGGAGAAAGCAAATCGGAACCATCGACATTGTTGTCGATATCTTCAAGTTTACCAACGATGCCAGCATCATCGTCTTCATCGTCGCTGTCCATTGCGTCTCTTGAGCTTTTGCCCGATTTCCCCTTTTTGTACGTGGACGAAGGCAGGAGGGCATCATTGTCACGGAAAGCGGCAAAACCAACGGTGCCCCGGGTATTCAACGGGCCTAATTTGCTAAAATCTGTCTGCACAGATTTGCGCTTCCCTGAAGCCGGAGTTGTGCTTGTGTCTCTCGAGGATGGTAGAATGCCCATTTTTTGCAATTGCCCTACATTTAGTCAGAATGTGAACTGATGAAATCGCAGAAGAAAAGGGGAACTAACTCTCGCCTCGATACAGGAAGGTGAAGACTGCATAAGGCTTATCAGGGCCATCAATGCCGGTCACAGTTTGGGTGCTTATCGATTTCGGGTCCAAAGTTTTTGGTTTGGCAAAACTTGTTGTATGATCGACGTCCGCATCTCCGCCTCCCGACCCTTTTGCATTACCATTCGAGCCTGCTTGAGAGTCCTCATCATCATCATGTGCGTCAAATTGAGGAGAATATTCTCCTTTTTTAATCTCGCCGGAGGCAAGAACGCGAAACAAGGCGACCTTTATCTGTCCAGCAGCTTCGGGCATCGGGGGTTCATCTTCTGAGTCGGAATCAGAAGAAAAAAGGCCATCTTCCTCGGTCATCCTTTGAATCGGTGCTCGTTCATCTGCACCGTATCGCAGCACTCCTTTGCTTTCCTTGCCGCCCTCGCTATCCTTCTCCATGTCCATCTCGCTCCCCGCAGCAGCACGTTCCTTGGCTTCTCTTTTCTTACGAAGCTTCCTCTCCAATCGTTGTCTCCGCTTCTCAATCGTCGCTGCAGCGTCTTTACCTTCCAAGTCTAGGCCATTCAGCCACCTCTCTAGGCCAACTTCACGGAAAAGAAATTCGCGCTCGGCGAGGCCGCCGCCTTCAGATTCCGGAACGCTGACCCATCTTGAATTGACCCAGGTCTCCTCGCCTCTTCTTAGAAGGGTTGCCACTTCTTCCTTCTGTCGTCCATCAAAGTAAATATAAGCCGCAACTGTTTCATTCGGAGAGCCGGTGAGGGCAATATAAGGCCCGATCGAACTGGTGTATCGACCACGAGTACTTCCATATCCAGGGAGTTCTCCAACATATTTCGGTTTTGGGAATGGTTCTTCCTCTGTAGGCTTCGGTGTTGAATAAGGCACAGTCAAACCAGGTGTGAGGAGAGTTATCGATATTGCAAATGTGGACTGTTCAGGCTTCTTAGTCGTCGAATCTGGTGGAATTCTTGGAGGTGGCACTGGAATGTAAGACGTAATCCTGGAATACTTCGATTGCTTTTGAATGGAATATTCTGGCAAAGGGCCATCCGGAGTGTGGATGCTCACAGCCAGGCCCTTGAAGCAAGGCATGGCTAGCCCCTGGTGACAGGAAGATGATCGGGGACTAGGTCACCAGTCGTGGCAGAGAATTATGAATGTGGTTCTGTTGAGCGTACTCTTGAAAAACAAGATATACTGTGGATAGCTGCTCAATTTGAGTCGGGTTTCCAGTGGGTAATCCGATTCTCAACAGAACGAGCTCAAGCGGAGTGATCTTGGAGGGGCGGTGTGGAGAACGACAGCGTTGAGGTTGAATTTAGCTTGGTTTAACGGTAGAAAAACTCAAGATCGAGAATATTGTGCTATTCTTCGACATTTCAAGATGCTGGCCTGCATAAAGGCAACATTTTGAAAAGGGATGTAAAAAAAAAAGAATGATGCTGGTGATGGAGCACTCGTGACGTGGGGAAGTCGGACGGTCGAGCATTCGCCCTCGGGAAGAGCCGCGCTATCTAGAACGAGCACGGCCAAGCTCCTGACAGCTTTTCTTCTGCCCAGGGACCAGGACGTCAAGCCTTATTTACCACCCCAAGGGCTCTACTCAAGACTCTACCATTACAGAAGTCTATGTCTCAACTTTTGAGACTGGAAGGATATTGACATCAAAATATCGAGTAGTCGCTATTCACATCCTGTTTGGACTTCCTTGCGGTTCATTGGTAAGGAGCTGAACTGGAATGCGAAACTATACTATAACTAGCTTCAGATGTCGTTCAATATGAGGATAATTCAGATCACGCAGGACACCAGAAACTTTAATGGCAATTTGACAAATGATGCTGTCGTATGCTATCGAGGGAAGTATTTTATATGTTGAGACGCATGAATCCGATCGAGCTCTGCCTGTTAATATTCGGTGGGTTGCGCAAATGTCACGTGCGGTCGCGCTTTCACGTGATAGTTAGATACCGAGATCCAAGCCTAGCCTTATCAGTCGAATCTCTTTCTTATGAGTTGTTACTTCGAAGGCTTGCTTAATCTCTCACTAAACGCTGACTTACTCTGAAGCTCCTTCAGTGAAGATGGCAGCTACAGCCAGAAATGTCAACCAGACGGCTCGCAAAAGTCTGCTGCTGGCTTTTGATGCTTTTGGCACATTATTCACGCCCAAAGAACCAGTTCCAAAACAGTATGGAGAAGTCGCTAGGAAGTATGGTGTTTCCGTCACTGATGACGAAATACAACAGTCCTTTCGGCTTGGTAGGCTTTTCTCTTCAGTATTATTCCGCGTAATTGCCGTAGTTGACATGGATACAAGCATTCAAAGATGAAGCTGCACGTAATCCCAATTATGGTAAAGCAGTAGGGATGAATGCGCAGACCTGGTGGGCAAATGTGAGGCTCGAACCTGCTCTACCACTTTTCCAAATACGACGCTTATGGCTACTGCCTTTAGCCTTCATGATGCTGACCTGTCCCAGGTTATCCGTGCAACATTGAAGCCTAAGTTAGAAGAAAGACAAGCTCTCCCAGCAGGTCTGATTCCAGAGCTTATAAATCGTTTTTCTTCTTCAGAAGGCTACATGCTCTATCCTGATGTACTGCCACTTTTTCAAGAGATTCGCAACAAAAGGGACGGCAAGCCTTCCGCGTGGCCATGGGAGCGGACCATTGTGGGCATCATTACCAACTCGGATGATCGTGTACCTGATGTCTTGTCAAACTTCGGTCTGAAGGTAGGTGCCCGCGCGGTAGGAAGGAAAGGGCAAAAGATTGGTGAGATCGAGAAAGACGATGACATTGAATTCGTTGTCTTAAGCTACGACGTTGGCGCAGAGAAGCCTGATCGACGCATTTTTGAAGCTGCTAAAGATATGCTTGTGGAGACTCTTATTGAAGAACGACAAGACTCAGACCACTTTCAAGCCCATGGCAAACCTGGAACCACCACGGACAAATACAATCAGGCTTTTGAAGCGACTCGAAACCTATTCAACGGACAATCGAAAGATGCAATCACTAATAATCTGGGCGCCAGTGATCTCGCAGGCCAACTTGCGTCAGAAGTCTCTGAGTTTGAGCTGCTCTACGTCGGCGATGAACTGAAGAAAGACGTGCTTGGAGCTCAAAATGCTGGCTGGCCCAGCCTTTTGCTCGATCGAGAGCATAAATATCGTGACTCATTTAGCAGCGGAGCCAAGATCGCTTCGGTTATTGAAAGTTCTAACAGCGATACTGCTACGCCGCGAAAATTTCACGTCATTCAAGATTTGCGAAACCTTTCGTCAGTTCAAATATCAGATCTGGACTGAAGTAAGCCGGCCTTTTCGAGTGAGCTTGTTTCCACGACAAAGTATGCTGACTGGCCAAAGCTCTAGACAAAGAGTTTTCTTCTGTCAGCAAGGCACGCAAGCCATCTGAAATATGATATATACTTAGACATTCGCGCAAGCGTCTAACTCCGAACCTTTCGCACCAGTTGTGTATGCAGCCACATTCCGCCCATTTTAAGATTATGTCAGAATCTCGATCTCGTCGGAGATCGCAAGTATTATCCCCGAGTTCCTTAAAACTCTTGTAAAAATGCCTTACAAATTATCAATTTTGATTTCCAAGGATTGCAAAGCGGAACGGGAAAGGGTTGACCAAAGTCTTCGGAAACGCTAAGTAGGATGCGGGCACCACCGCTCGCTACCCCAGATTACCAACCCCAGCGGAACTAATTCCGCGGCGCTTGACAATCATATCAAGTTTCCATGATGAGGGCGTTTTACGATCACGAAATACATTTAGACGATTTTGCCATCTTAATATGATTATCAATCTATCCATTGTAATATGAACGGTAGAATGGAATTGAGGCATGACAGAGAGCATATAAGCATGGCAAATCTCTTCTCCAGAATTCCCTTCCCCCACATCCGTTTCATAGCAACCAATTACATTGAATAAATTCTTTTACTATATTAATCTGCATCTCGACTACCAAGACGTCAAATCAATTTTCTGAAATGTCCGTTCTTAAGAACGTTATCGTCATTGGAGGCGGGGGTAACCTTGGCCCGAGCATCCTCTCTGCACTTCACTCATCCTCCCACTCATTCAATATCTCTGTCCTCAGCCGAGCATCCAGCGCTGCTACCTTCCCACCATATGTTACTGTCCACAAGACAGAATATAGCCACTCTTCTCTAGTTAAGACATTGAGGGGTCAAGATGCTGTAGTATCGACCGTTGGTGGCATAGCACTTAGCGATCAGAAAAAGATTATTGACGCTGCCATTGAAGCAGGGGTGAAGCGTTTCATTCCCTCCGAGTTCGGCAGCAATATCTGGGACAAAAAGACACTTGAGCTGGTTCCAGTTTTTGGAAAGAAAAAGGACGTGGTCGAGTACCTCCGATCAAAGGAGTCTGACGGTTTGACCTGGACCGATATCATCACGGGGCCTTTCTTTGACTGGGTAAGTCGACCTTTTTAATTTGAAATAGTACAATATCTTTTCAATTGGGATCTTTGTTGCGGGTCTAGCTAGGCAGTATCACTGACAGGTGGTAACTGTGAACAGGGGCTTAAGGCCGGTTTCCTCGGATTCGATCTGAAGTCTAATACTGCCACGATTTTTGATGACGGCAATCGACCCTTTTCTACGACTACCATCGCCACTGTCGGAACTGCGGTTGCTAATTCCCTGGCTCGTCCCTCGCAAACGGCAAACAAGATCGTATATGTGAGTTCGGTTGTAACTACGCAGAATGAGGTTCTCGCTGCGTATGAGAAGGCGACTGGCAAGAAGTGGCAGGTCAAGAAGGAAAGTACCGAAGAGTCAGCCAAGATCGGTGGAGAGAAGCTTGCTAAAGGAGACTTGAGTGGTTTTATCAATGTGGTGCGTGCGGTGACTTACGGTCCGCAATATGCTGGCAACTGGGAGGCTGGCCCGGGTTCTGACAATGAACTGCTAGCGATTCCGCAGGAGAATGTCTTTGAGACTGTTCAGAGAATTGTGGATGAGAAATAACTTTGCCTAATTTGCAGGGAAATATTGACGATTCACTCGGTAGGAGGCGTTCATGCCAGGAGATGAAATCCTGGAGAGCAGGTTCGGTAGTCCATAGGTTATATGAAATTAAAGCCAAATGTTGATTGCAGTGGTTTCCAATTTTACAATGCGAGGTCCTCCACACGAACAAGTCCGCTGCCCATTCCTGCTGCTGCCCACCCGCCGCAGCTAAGATTTGGGTTCCATGATACGTCGGTTATGCTTGATCGTTCCTCGAAAATTGCATTAGAGATTCGGTTGCTCGAGCCATGTTCGTCTTTGCTCGGTTGGAGCACCACAGATTCAACTTTGAAACCTTCCACAATCCGACTTATTCCTCCGTCCTGCCGGCTCCACTCGTGGAAAAACCATGTCTGTTGTTGAGGAACGGATTTGGAGTTGAGTAATCTGCGCAAAGGATTTGTTGCTACAGCTGCTCCGTCTATTGTCCCCGCTAATATCATTGGATGTACCACTCCGGCAGCGAGACTCATTAAGAGTGCCTTTCCATGGTTCTGGGGTCGTGCAACTGCTATAGTTGAGTAGAATCGCCGCAGGGGTGAGAGCCGAACGTGTCCCTGTTCATCGGCCGACATGGCAGCCTGCATATGGTCGCTCCATGCTAGCACGCTATTGCCAATGCGAGACCGCTGTGAGAGGACTGAGTCCGCCTTTGGCGACCTTAGGTCAGTTGCCCGAAGGTATCCATCCATTGACGCTGTCAAGAGTATATGCGGTCTTGAAGGATATCCACTAGTAACTGAGAGAACGTATGTGCCATGAATATGTTGATAAAACCATGGCGTCGGAGACCATGGTCTTGGTAGCTCATCTGATGGACGTGGTCGAATATCAAAAACTGCCACAAACCCATTGGCACAACCTACTACAATATCATGGCTGGAGAGCCAGTCCAGGCTCGTGCATATGCTTTCTGGCGGGCCAGACTCAAAAGCGGGCTTTGTGATATGTACTGTGTGTAAAGTCAGGATGACGTGAAAGAAAAGCTAAGGACAGAACAGAAAGAAGCTCACAATACTGTGTAGGGGTTTCCTGATTAGAGACTCCCGGACGGAACACATCAAAGACTCTTAACTTGCCATCTCCAAATACTGCACCCAAAAGCCCAATACTATCTGTCTCATCCTGATTTCGCAGGGCACGGCACCATTTGAGCTGTTTGACGGGTCCCCATTCTGTGCATATCACAAGTCTCAAGCTTGGCGACTTCGTCAAGTCCGGCTGGCATTGGCCATGTTGGTCTGCTGCCGCCGCAGGAAAACCCCATATTTGAATACAAGATGGCGTCGCTGGAGAAGGGGAGTAGGCAGGTGCGACATTGCGCGAAGGATGTCCAGCCGGAGGATTTAGTCTGTCTGTCTTGTTGTCGAGTGAGTTTGTGCAAAGCGCCAAGTATTGAACGCCGCTTTTGTTGTTTGGTGCCCAGTCGATGCACTGCACCTTATCGCCAGCATTGAGCATCCAACCAAGTCGGGGATTCTTTTTTGAAGACTGTTGCGATTGTCCATCGATGGGATCATCAGGCTTCCAGCATTCTTCGATGCTAATGCTTTCGCCATTGGGTATAGTGACTAGTTTTTGGTCCTTCCATAGCCCCATGAACACCTTACAATCGCCCTCTCCAGTGCGAGGAAGAAACTCGATTGCAGAGTCTGGAGAAAGAGCTTGCGTCTGCTGTGTCATTCGAAATGATTTTTTCCCGCCCCCATTATCATACCAACGCCAACTGAGAGTCGCCTCTTTTTCTCTGACTTCCTCGGGGAGGAAGAAGCTGTAGTCTAATCCGCCGGTGCCATTGTCCTTCGCATGGCGCCGGGGCAGAGTTGGGTCATTGCACCATTTACTGCGAGAACGAAGAAGTGCGATGATTCCCGCGTCCTCATCCCCAGCCAGGTTGGTGAGCATTTCTCTTTTGGTGCCAGATTTGTGCATCTCAGGGACGCCCCGGATGATGCCTTTTGACGGCTGAGCAGATGATTGAACATCTCTTGGTCGGTGAGTCTTTGATTCATTCTTAGAATCTGCATCGCGTCTTTTTATTTTGTCTCTGCGGACAATTGCAAATTCAGATGATTTCCTTTTCTTGCGTGGGGTCCTCGATTCATTTTCATTTGCTTCTTCATCAGAGATGATCATGCTAGTGGCATCTTCTTCTTCTTCATCCTCACTTTCTTCTTCTTCTACTTCATCTTCATCATCCTGAACTTCGTTTCCCTGGCCTTTCGTTCGGACATGAAACTCGTCATCTTCGCCGGAATCGTCATAACGATCTTCTGTGTCTTCTAGCTGAGAGTCTTCACTCAAAATATCTAGCCCTGCCAGGGGATCAAGGTTGTATGATGTTCTTTGGCGTTTCCGTCCTGATTGTCTTCGTGAACTCATTCTGGTATTTAAGCAGTTTCTAATTTCCCTTGTTGCCGTTTCTGTGTTTCATGGATCTCCCGCGTCACATTCTCGGTATCGCCTTTGGCGAGTGTGTGAGCTTGATGTCGAACTTCAAGTGGAACCCACGCTTTGCGAAACAGACATCACTTTGTGTGATCTCTTCAAAGTTTATCGCTATAGTATTCTTCCTCGAGTATTCTGATTATTGTGCTCTTGTATATCGATCATATTTCTCGTATGACAATCTCACTCTTGAAGGGTGTGGGGTGTAAGTCTGGATGAAGAGCAATCCATTTTGAGAATGTAATGCATTTTAGACATGCTAATTTCAAGAAAGTCGTCTTAGCTCAATTGGGAGAGCGCCAGACTGAAGTCAACTTCTGTCTTAATGCAACGCGTTATCTGGAGGTACTGTGTTCGATCCACAGAGACGACACTTGTCTATATTTTTAATTTTATTTTTCTTATTCTGCATTTCGGCTTTTTATTTTTATACCTTCTTGGGAATATATTTTTGGATTCATGTAATCGTGATGTGAGGAAGAGTGCCATTCTTGAAATTTTGGATTAAGATATTGTATTTAATTCTGTAGTATATTTATGCCTTTGATATAAAAGTAAACTGGTTACTAAAATTACTACGCCTTGCCGGAAGTTTGATGCTACTGTCTTACGTCTCATATTTTGCCCAGCATTACACAGAAGCCTGAATGACCTCTAAATGCAATTATCCCATTTTCATAAAATATCGACGGAGATGTGCTGACTTGCTGCAGCTCCTAGGGACGTTTTTCGTTCAGGCGTGCAAACCAACAAAGCTGCAGGCGAGACTTAGAGCGGCAACGGCGAAGACACTGCCCGACTGCCCACCAAGCCAAAGCTAAACAAATGCTTGTGGACTGACGTCGGTTTGCATACTCTCCCACTTCTTCAATCCTAATCGAACTCCAGCTACCATGCAGCACTAGAAAGTGTCCTCTTTTACTCTTTGCATTTTACTCTACACTTTCTTACGGTTTTTGAAATAAGTCTGGCCATGAATTCAGCGCCCCCGCGCACGTCGGGGCCGCAGCCTCGGCTCTGCGCACAATCTTCAGCGGATGCGTCTGACGACCTGTCGCGAGACCCCACCATTGTTCATCGTACACCAGCAGACCCCGAGGCCGTATATATTAACAAGCCCGTGGAAGGAAACCAAGAAGCGCAGAGAGGAAGAGAGAGTCCAGCCGAAAATGCAGAAGAAGTCCCAGCTCGGATACCCTCAGAAGAGGACGAGCCGCGCAAATGCTGGATTTGCTTTTCTGATGAAACCGAGGATACACCATTGACGTCGGAATGGAGGACACCTTGCCCGTGTGCTCTTACAGCACACGAATCATGTCTGCTGGACTGGATAGCTGATCTCGAAGCCCCGAACCCAAACCGACGGACTGCTGTCCCCGCCAAAATCCTGTGCCCACAATGCAAATCCGAGATAAAAGTGGCACGACCACGCAGCATCATCGTGGAGAGCGTCAACGCGGTCGAACGTATACTCGGAAAGGCGGTCGTCCCAGGGGCTTTTACCGTCATAGCGGGAAGCATCTGGGCGGGCTGCTTGGTACATGGCATCGCCACCGTACATCTAATCTTCGGCCGAGAAGGTGCTACGCGGATTTTAACTTATGGATTGGTGCCTCAAGCGGATCCGTTGACTGAACTCTTTGCTCAGCATAGCGCGATTGTACCTCGCTGGAACCTGCCGCTGAGCCTAGGACTACCCTTGATCCCAGTTGCCCTCATATTTTCGCGAACGAGCGTGGCGGACAGCGTACTACCCCTCGTTCCTATTACGTTCTTTATCGCACAGAATAATGACTGGGATCGATGGGACCTGACACGATGGCCCCCAAGCCCAGCCATGGTGATCGCCACACTTCCATATCTGAGAGTGGCCTACAATGAACTTTATGAAAGAGTCTTTGGCGCAAGGGAAAGGAGATGGATCAAGGAGATACAACCGCGAAGTGGGGAAACTGAGCAGGATATAAACGGTGGCGATATTCATCAAGCCCCTGAGAACGATGCGCAGAGGCAGGACGAACAAAACCTGCTGATGGAGATCAATGTTGAGGTTGAAGTCGTGGATGACGATGAGGGGGTTAACAACGATCTTCCACCGGGCCAGCAGGAGGCAGCGCAAGGCCCTGCGGCCGCTGGTGACCAAGCGGCTGAACCCCATGGCCGACACAATAATTTTGTTATTTCAACCTCTCAACTCGTTGATACCATACTCGGAGCGCTGGTGTTTCCCGGCGTCTCTGCTGCTATGGGTTATATTCTCCAACTAACCCTGCCGCGGTCTTGGACTACGCCACCGTTTTCTGGTCCTTTCGGTCGGACACGCTTGACGGGACTCTTGCAAGCACGATGGGGCCGTAGCATTGTCGGCGGTTGCATCTTCGTTGTTCTCAAAGACGCATTGACTTTATACTGTCGGTGGAAGCTTGCACAGGGTCACCGCAAGAGACAAGTGGTCGACTATGATCGCAAAAAGAAGAAGACGGAATCTCGTTGACCATTACGATAGTACAGAGGCTGTTTTATATTTGCAACACAGACTATTGATGTTGCCATGATTTCGCTGGGCGTTGGCAGGCACATATTACAGTACATATTCCCCCCAAAATTTCATAATCAAGTTCATAACCGGCCTGCGAAGCACATTTATCCTCGCAGAGCTATTGGACTCATTCATAACTGAGAAATAGATTTCAATTGGAACAAGAAAAATTTGAAGCCATGTATGCATATAAAAATCCATTGCACGTGGCATATCGAAGAGGAAGCAGAGTAGCTCGAGAATGTGATTGCCGGGAAATCGCCTGCGAAGATGAGCAATGGTTGAATTAATGAATTAATAACGAATGTACGAGGGCCGAGCCCCTCCCTGTTTTTCATCAGGCTCAGTATATCAAGGGTTGGACATATAATTGCATCAACTTACGTCTTGCGGATATGAAGGCGGAGGATTGAAGAACTTCTTGCCGTATCCTGTCGTTGACAGACAGGGTACCTCTATGGGTCTTTGACCCCAAGCATCCGAGACATCGAAACTTGGGTGCTGGAGTAGATCGTACTCGGGATCGATAGAAATGGCATGCATGCGCTCAAAAAGCACATGCTGTCCGAGCAAAAGCGCAATTTCGTCATTTTCAAGGACTTCAAAATCTTCTCGGAATCTCTTTTGCTTGAATCCAGCATTGAACTCTAACGTGATCAGGCCATGGGCTTTCATAACTTGGTTGTTAAGATCTTTGAATTCGTGCCTGCTCTGTCGACGTTCGTCATTTTCGAGTCCCAGTTTCTTTAGAAGGTCAAGGGAGATAAAATTGGCTTCAGCGCCGGTATCAACTTTGGTCCACACATTTAGCGGTTTCCTTTCACCACGTGGTTGAAGGGTCACAATCATCCATGTCGGGTCTCGTTGATCCTAGATCCACGGAGTCCGTCAGTGCGCTCTCTCGGCGATAATCACGGCGACAAAAAAAAGAAGAAGAAGAAATGATAGGAATATTTGTTGAGCAGACGCAGAAAAATGGAAGAACTGAAAAAAAAAAAAAAAAGAAACATACGGCCGTCCCAGTAACGGTGTATCTGTTCCCATGTTCAGGATCAAAAGTGGTCGAGCTCTCAACGCCATTTCCATTGACCGAGTGACCGGGATCGTCAATGATAAAATGATCGCTATCGCTATCGGGATCCAATTCGTTGGTTGTGGGGGTGGCTACAGGATCTGCTGGGATGTTTATTTCATCCTGCTCAAAGTCCTTCTCCCGTACCCCATCGGAGCCTTCATCTACCCGAGCAAAGTCAGCCACCTGGAGAGTCATGCCGAGAAGCTTTGTCGGACCACAATCTTGGAAAATAAAGGAGGAAAAAGTGAAGAGGATGGCGTGCAGTTTGCTGACCTGGATCCAACTCGAGACGACTTGATCATGACTGTTTATATACTCAGGTGAAGGGCCGTAATACGGAACAATGTCTGCTTGTACGCTTCCACGCTATAACACTTGGATTGGGGCCAAGAACCAGGGTGATCCGCTGGGGCCCCCAAAATTCCCACCGCCACAGATGCCGACGCCGTTGGCCGCATGTTCTAGACATGCGCGTCTTGACTTTTCATTCGACGCGGCCGCGCGCCACTTTGATATTTGTACAGGTGGGCGCGTTTTGTCAGCCTTGGGGTCACTGTCATCAAGTTGTCTGCAGCCCAATCAGCGACTGACCTGCTTCTTTTGGCACTGGTGGTGGCACAATCCCACAACCCCGCCGCCATGGTCGACTGCGGTACGAACTTGTTGCTGTTCAGCCTCGGGGTTGTAATAAAGCCCCCGATGCACATGTTCCGAAGCTCGACCGCTCATCATCAAAGGCGCTATTTTGGCTGACCCAACCGTAAGTTGGGGGTTCGTTTTCTTACTCTCTAATGCGAGCCGTTGTTGTACTGAGCGTTGGAATCAAGTCAAGCTATGACCGACGACTCACTACCGTCCACTTTATTCCGACGGGGAACATCGTTCTCCGCGACGACCGCCTCAACTAGTTTTGATCCTGTCAAGGGTTACCCGCAACTTGCCCATGAAGTGGGCACCGAACCGAGTTGGCTCATCTTTCGTCGTTTCTCAGTACTAAATGCACGCAATCTGCTCTACTATCAGGCGGAGCTTGTGCAGCTTGAGCATGAGTTGAATGAACTGGAAGCAAGAAGCGACGGAAAGGAGGATGGCGAATCCCACCATCTAGAAGTTGCTAGATTGATGAATTCGGAGCCCGGGTCTCTAGGGTACAAGCAATGGCAAAAAGTCCAAGAGATTCGTGGTAAACTTGAACATTACAGTATCACCTCCACGACATCCATTAATGCCAGCAAATAGTCCTAACGGCAAGCGGTAGATTCATTATTACTTCAACATGCGAAGCTGTGCAAGCTTCCACCCCCGAATGTGGCAGATTTTCGCGAATTACACAAATTCATCCACGGAGTCTACGGTTGCAAATGGATGCGATCTCCAGAAGACTCAATCTGGGAAATGGCGGACGACGGAAAGAGCCATGCGCGGGAAGACCTCGTCGTCCTGACCACTGCAGATAAGAGCAAATTTCAACAATGGTTTGAGGATGTGGTCCTTAGATTGTACCATGACAAGATTTATTTGAGGTTTATTGTCCGTGGTTCCTTTCTTTGTCACCCCAGGCCCCTCAAGCCGTTCCCTTACGCCACAGTTTGTGAATGCGTCGGGGCTGATTTAATAATAATATACACAGAGACGCCGTGGAAGACACATTGGGGCAACCACCAGCTATTCCCATGCCGCACTTGAAAATAGGCTGCGGAAAGGGTAGGGTTGGGTAGGGTTTTGGCAATCATGGCCCACTTATAGGGCTACCCTACAGCAGGGTAGGGTCGAAGCTTTGAAGC